CAAGGTACAAGGGTCCAGGGATAGTTGGCACTTGGCAGCATGTGCATGCTTTCCAGAATGACAGAATCATGCTCATTCAAATGTAACAAACGCATAATAGTGTAATACATTATACTCATATTGGCAGCATGTCCAACACCAAATCATATAGCAATGTACTCATGTTTCATACACATTCAAATGGAAAAACAAGCATATAATGGCACAAATCAGACATTTCATAGAGCTCGGAATGCTTATTATCATTCACAAGGGAAATAAGGGGCATCTGTTATATCCTACCATTTCAGTTACAACTTACAAGTTACCATTCATGAACTAAAAGAGCAATATCAACCCTAAACCCTATATGCAGTACCAGTAATTAGTGGAAGCTTCATCATAGCCAATGCCAAATCATAGAGTCATGTATTCATGTTCATACACATTCAAATGAAAAAACAAGCACATAATGAAACAAACCAGGCATTTCATAGAGCTCAGAATGCTTTTTATCATTCACAAGGGAAATAGGGGGCATCTGCTACAATTTCAGTTGCAACTTACCATTTTATGAACTGAAAGAGCAATACCAACCCTAAACCCTATATGCAGTAATGAGTGGAAGCTTCATCATAGCTAATGCCAAATCATAGAGTCATGTATTCATGTTCATACACATTCAAATGGAAAACCAAGCACATAATGGCACAAATGCACAATATAAATATAGAAATTGTACACTTAATGGCACAATAGAGGATCCAGTAGGAGCAGCATCTCCACCACCAACATTTCCATCCATTATTTCTATAACAGACAAACAGAATTGTTAGAATTTTGAAATTTAAACAATAAGCTTCAGAATAAGCAAATAATACATGAAAATACATTGAACTTATACCCTTTTCCAGTCTCTCTACTTCATCAATGTTTTCTTCAACTGAGATAGGCTGGTGAGCCATTCTCAACCAATCTTGTGCACATATAAGGGCTTCCACAATTTTACAACTTAATGAACTCCTAAAACAGTCCAAAACCCTACCACTTGTACTGAAAGTGGACTCAGAAGCAACTGTGGAAATGGGAACACCAAGTACATCCCTAGCCATCTTAGAAAGTATAGGAAACCTTTCACTATTTAACTTCCACCATCTTAGAATATCAAAGTCCCCAACTTCCTCAATTATGGACTCAGCTAAATATATATCAAGTTCAGATTTTTTAACTCCTACCTGACCACTCTCAAGCTTCTTCTTTTTAAGATCAGCCTTAAACCTGGACACAGGCCTATTTTCAGAATTACCACACTCCATAGATGCTACAGAAGTAAAAGTTGTATTAGAACTTCCACCAACACAGTCAGGGTAACTTGAAACATAATCAACAAATAACTCAGTTAGACCTGACTTCACTTTTAGAAAAAAAGCAGCACCTTTTTTATCACCATATAAAGCATTTAGCTGAAATGGCATATACTCAAACTTGTCCCTAGGATCTAAGACATTAGCATAGAAGATTAGATAGTTCATCTTTTCAGGATCACCCCAGTACTTGTCTAGTTTGGATTTCATAGTACTCCCCATGGCACTGACAGAAGCAGTTGGAGAGGCAACCATATCTTTGAGGACAAGGAACAAGTCAGAAATTTCAGAAAAAAAGGTATTGGAAGTAACATATAGTGAGCCTGAAATTCTTAGTGTCATTTCATAAAAATGTTTTAGAATGGTCACAAAAGATTCAACAGCAATCCAATCTAAAACATCAGGCATGTCAGAACCCAAATCAGTACTATATGCAGATTCATTCTCCTCATAGGCTTCAAACACTTTCTCATTACAAACTGCAGATTTTAGCATCAGGTAAGTGGAATTCCACCTAGTCGGAACATCCAGGTGCAGACCACTCTTGGCTTCCACTCCTATCAAATCAGATATATCTTTGAACTTTTGAAGCCTAGCAGGTGAGTTCCTAACATACTTAACAGCTTCCCTAACTCTCATGACTGAAGTGTCTGAATCTTTAAGACCATCTTGTACTGCTAAGTTCAAGATGTGTGCAATGCAAAGCATATGAACATACTTTACTTTTACAGAAGAAGCACCCCAGGCTACTAATTTTTTCTTGAAAAAACCAACAGTTGTATCATTATTACTAGCATTATCAACAGTCACAGTAAAAATACTTTTCAGACCCCAATCAAGTAAGCAATTCTCTAGGGCTTTAGCAAGGTACTCCCCTTTGTGAGAGGTGACAGGGACAAAGGAAATTATTTTTTTCTGGAGCTTCCACTGATGATCTATGAAATGAGCAGTAATGCACATGTAATTTATCCTCTGAATAGAGGTCCATGTATCAGTAGTTATACTAACTCTCTGAGTTTGTTCCCTAAAATTCCTTTTTAGAGTCATTTTTTCATCAATGTATATTTGAAAAATGTCTCTAGCAATTGTCCATCTAGAAGGAATTTGAAACCTAGGACAGGCTGCAGCAACAAAATTCCTAAAACCTTGTCTGTCTACAAATCTAAAAGGAAGCTCATCAATGATTAGCATTTCACCTAGAGCTCTCCTAATAGCTTGTTGATCAAATACCCAAGTTCCCATGACCCCCCAGTCTTTCCAGATGGTTCACCTGTCTGTGGAGGTACAGGCTGGAAGGTTAATAGGGCTTGTCTAGTGTCTTTAGCATGGGGGTTTTTCATGCAATTAAGCATGTGATTTCTGATGGAGGAAGTTCCATGTTTCTTAGAGTGACAACAGTATATTTTTGCACAATATATGCACCTCCCCTTAATAACCACACCCTTTTCATCCTTAATTTCATCAAAGTGATCCCAAATCTTAGATCTTTTGTCAACCACTTTTCTCTTTTGTCCAGAAACAGCAGGTGGTGCAGTCTGCTCATTGGTAATGTTAGGCTCAGGAATTTGACTTTCCACCACTGTTTCTTGACTCAGAGGAGGTTGAGATCCAGATGTAGAAAAGGTCACACATTCTTCAGGGTCCATCTAATGTAAGCAAATAAGCAACACATGATATATTGATATGTGTATACTAAGCTTCCACATTGTTAATACTTAATACCTCACACATAATGCAAGTACGCAACACATGAATAAGAGTTGTACATATGCAGTCAGTAAGAGCTTCCACAGAGTTCATATCTCACAAATAATAACCATAATATGTAAGTCTGGAACAATCAGCAAGCTGATTTACAGAAGGATAAAAGCACTTTGCTTTTTCACTTCTCTACAGACTCTGAAGAACCCAGTTCACTCTTTGTACTCGTTTGAGTACTAGAGTACAAAAAGGGTTGTTCAAATTAATCAGAAGGCAATTATGTAAGCAACTAAGCAACACATGATATATTGATAGGTGTATATTAAACTTCCACATAGTTTATGTACATGACAACCTGTATAGGTGTATAGGTGCATATAAATACATCACTGCCACATCTCCACACTAGCCAGTACTCAATAGGCAAGTAGGCAACACATGAATAAGAGCTGTACATAAGGAGTCAGTAAGAGCTTCCACACTTCATTATATAATATATAGCTTCCACACTTCATTCATATTTTTAATAAACAAATTTGAAATTCTGAATGCATTATAAGAGTTGTACATATGCAGTCAGTAAGACAGTAACTCAATCAGGACATCAGGTGTGTATATATACTAATATAGATCAACAATTAACAGGGACAACTGGACAAGCAAACATTCGAACAGATCTGTACATGACCGAACTCAGAAATCAAGTGTGAACTCAACAGTCATTCAGTCAACACGCAAGTTTCAGAAATATATACGAACATCACAAGTTCACAACTGAAAACTCAGAACATGCATGTATCATGAAGGACTAATCATACAATTGTACAAACATTTTAAAGTATTTTATACCTCAAAGGCTCGAAGAAGAATGATTGGGAATCAGTCTCAAATCTCAAGTCTCAACTACTCACGCTGGGCTAGAAGACTATCAAGGCTTCCACACTTACACTAGGTTGAGGACTACAGCCCTACAGCGATGCCAACGGCGGCCGATGAATTGAGAAGTCAGAGTCTCTCACTCCTCTGAGGCTCTGAGTCGTAGAGAGTGTATGATAGGGTTAGGGTTAGCCGCTTAGAGAGTTAGAGAATAGAGATAGAGTGTAACTTAGGGTTATGTGGGGGAAGGGATAACCGGATAAGGGTAATATGGCCTTATGGGTTATGGGCTTGGGGGAAATGGGCTTAGGCTAGGTCGGGTTTTCGGGTGGGTCGGGTAGGGATTAGGAGAACCCTACCCGCTGGGTCTCGGGCCAAGCAAATCGGGCTGGCGGGTCGGTTTCAAGGATTCGGGTCGGGTCAACCGACCCATTCTTAAAAATTCGGAGTAATTCGGTCGGGTTTTTCGGGTAGGGTCGGTTTTGCTCAGCCCTACCTACCACAGCACCCTCCTCCTTTATCCTGGCTTGGGACAGACATGATACCAAAAAAATGATATCATGGCGGAGTTAGATGAAATTAGGAGCATGATAACAAATTCAATATACTACCTCAATCCTGTTGAAAGATTCCTATAACAAAACAACACAGTTATTTAGGTAATAATTAGATAAAGTACTTCGAGTATATTTTGAAAAATAATTTTAATAGGTATATATTATAATGTAGTTAGTATTGATAACTGTGATGGTATAAATGTATTATTTTTAAAATTTAATGTTAATTTGTCACTTATGATTGTTAATTGTTTCATAAAATGGAAATGAAAACCTTATATGAGACATCCAAAAAAGGAAAGTGGAACCTTCTAATGAGGGAGGAATAACATTCAACGTATTCATTCAGAAAAACTTTTGGATGAACTTTGCAAAGAACTACGACTCCAGTAATCGAAAAACAAAACTCTAAACAAACACTATGAATGATTCAAAATATTATTCTTTAAAATTTTATCAAACAAATTACACAAAATTTAAAAATGGTTCTTGCGTGTTCAATATTTTACCATATATAATCCGGTATAGTCCATAAACAGTTATGTGGTGACAGAAGCAATACAATACGAACGAACTTTCACAGTAGCAATTCCACCAATCACCAGTAACAGTGGAGCAGAGCTGCCTTTCCAAGAAACGCCTTCTTGGGATATTCCCACTGAATGCGAACGAGTGCAAGAAGAACTTGGAAGTCTCCTCTTCGGATTTTGAGGACGCTATCTCACCTATCTGACCTTTCTTAGTTTTGGAAGCCTCAAGTTTCTGGGTTTTGTACCCTCCCCTGAATCAGTCTTTTGTGCCGAAATGGATGTAACTCGATCTAACCCAGGATTCCAAACAGAGATAAATTGGGACAAGTAAGAAATATTTGTTCTTAACTCGAATGGGAAACCCATGGTTTTGTCATTTGGAAGAATTGTTTCTTTTGCGCTGTTCCCTTTTGGAAGTCTAATCATTGCTGTTAACTTTAAATATCATTTGTGCCCTTATGTTATATTCTACAGAAGATTTAGATTTCTTGAAAATTGTTTTGGTTCGTTTATATTGCCCACCTCTCCATGCAGGCTTGATAAAACAAAGTTTTATCTGGTAGGAGCTGGAATCTTTTCAGGGCTCACTGTTGCTCTATATCCTATATCAGTTGTTAAGACAAGATTGCAGGTGGCTGACCATAATGCTGTGGAAAAGAATGCTTTATCCGTAATCAGGGGAGTTTTAAGGACAGATGGGATTTCTGGTTTGTATAGAGGGTTTGCTACAGTAGTTACAGGCACAATTCCAGTCAGAGTTATATATCTGACTGCACTGGAGATGACCAAAGTAGCTGCTCTAAAGATGACTGAGCCATTCAAGTTTTCAGAACCTCTACAGGCAGCCATTGCAAATGGAGCTGGTGGATTGATAGCTTCACTCTGTTCACAGTCTGTTTTTGTCCCCATTGATGTGGTATGTTGTTGCCTTGTTGGTAATATGCTTGTCTGAATTGATTTATGCACTGTGGCCATTTTGATTACTCCGTGTATAAATCTTATTTAACATATTTGTGACAACAAATTTATTTGTGATGAAAAATCTCTTGGTTTGGTTAGTTTGTTTCACATATTGATAGAATTCCGCCCTGCATTTGGGCCAAATCATAATAAAAGATGGAATCCAATATGTGAGCCAGTTCACCCAATCTCGTAATTATTAACCAATCATTCTCTCTAATATTTTGGTGGAGATTCTAGCACTCCCATCAAGTGGACAACCATTTCATTTTGAAGCTAATCAGTTGATAGTTGCATATTGGACTCTGTTATCCTGTAATTGAAATTCAAAACGCTAAGACATTAAGCCAAGAAACACTAAAAGATTGAGTCCAATTTTTTAGCTGTTCAAGTCAAAGTCATAGTAGCTCGTCATTCTGTCTTTAATACGGAGTATTAATTAGATTATGCAATATTATTTACCAAATTGTTGTGGACGTTGTGGGGAGTGACTTATGAAATTGGATTTTAAAGGTTAGTCAAAGGTTAATGGTGCAAGGATATTCGGGCCATGCTAGCTACAATGGGGGGTTTGATGTTGCTCGCAAAATTCTGAAGTGTGAAGGCATCCGTGGACTATATAGGGGATTTGGTCTCTCTGTTATGACATATGCTCCATCAGGAGCTGTATGGTGGGGAAGCTATGGCTCAAGCCAGCGCTTCATATGGAGGTGACACATGCAATCTCATTTCATAGAGGATAATTAAAAATTGCCGATTTGTTGAAGTGTTTTCTTTTTGTTAGTACATTTCATTCTCTTTTCCCTTGCTTCATTCTTTTTGCTTTCTGCAAGCTATACTTCTATTAGGACTTGGGAAACTCTATGTTGCAGACAGTGTTATGATATGTTTCTGGCAGGCACTTGATTGATGGGAATGAGCAGAGAGAATTTGATCCTAGCGATGGGATGATAGTGGCAGTTCAAGCTGCTGGTGGAATAGTTGCAGGTGCCACTGCATCATTGGTCACCACACCATTTGACACCCTTAAGACACGCTTACAGGTACCTTTTCTTGGATGAGCACTGCTGTGGCATACGTACTATGCGGTCTGGCATCACTAAGACTTACCTTAATATACCCCCTCAAGCCCTATTTGGTGAAGGCACTATTTTAAATGACAAGGTAAGACATAAAAGTAATGTAAGCACATGAAAAACTAGTATTGTTTTATGAAAACATGACTCTTTTTTGGTAGGCAAAAGTTGTTTAAAGCATGACTCTTTTGAATCCTTGATGGGCTTTTTGTGGGACGGGTCGAGTAACATATAATCTATTTTTGGTAAAGAGTAAGAGTGCTTTTGGGATGACTTATTTCAAGGAACAAGTGTTGTACTTCATAAAGTCTTGTTTGGCAAAAGAATGAAAGTTCAGTTAACAATAGAAAACACTTTTAATGCTCATTTAGGAATGCAGCAGCAAATTGATACTTTTTCAAAAACACATTGTACTCTTCAAGTGTTTACATGAGAAAATAATTGCTATAAAAGTAGTTACACCATAAGTTTTTCCAAACAGGCTCTAAATTATCATTCTTGTGATGAATGTATGAAACAGTTTTTAATGAAACAGTTTTCAAAAGGTGCTTCATTGCCTTTGGGTATTAGATTGGGCCCTAACACCTAGGAAAGCTTATGTTGGGCCGAAAAGGGGGAAAATCAGATGCAGTCTAGGGAGTCTTAATGTTCTGGCCCTACACGGAGAGCTAGGTGGGGATTTGGTGAAGCAGCGGTATAAATCATGCTGATAGTCGTGTTCATCCCAGAGCTCATTCTGTAGAAACTAGGTGAACTTGTACTGTAATCTAGCTTGGACTATTTCTTGCATTCATCATATATTCTTTGTGGTAATAGATCTCTCTGGGATTTACACATTCCTTCATCCTCAATCGCTTATTTTCCCTTAGGTCTTGGTTTACCGGGAAGGAAGGGTGATACTTGAGAAAATTTCAAGGTCCTGTAGTTAAGACACCCTTTGTCTCACTTTATGCATCCTGTTTGGTATTATGAGGTCTGAGTGGAGTTGAAGTTAAAAAATCTTCTAGATATATTTAAATTAGTATTAATAATTAAAGTTTGCATATTTAGAAACTGCACTCTAGTTACAAAATCTTTGTAGTTGAAGTTAAATCTCTCCTAATTAAAGTTCTATTAAACTGAAAAATCTAAATTTGAATATGTTACAAATCTGATACACAAACTCTGAAGAAGTTCGGTTGACGCAATTTATATCTAAATGAATATTGAAAGTGACAAACAAAATGGGACAGGAGTACTCCAAATAATCTGCATTAGTATATCTGTAATACCTAGTCTCAATGCAATATTTGCTTCGCTGCAGGTAAAGGGACACGGAGACAACAAAGCTACTGCAAGGCAAGTTGTTAAAGAGCTTCTTTTAGAAGACGGATGGACGGGATTATACAGAGGTCTGGGTCCGAGGTTTGTCAGCATGTCGGCATGGGGAACATCTATGGTACTAGCCTATGAATATCTAAGTATGGCCTCTCCCTGCCTCGTCTCACGCTCTTTCTTTTCATCATCTTGTCACTATTTATCATCTCATTTTATCTGCATTGTAGTAACCATCTCTTTTGATAATTTATTCTCTGTTTTGAAGTAAATAATTTGATGAGCATATCCTTTTTTCTCCCTGTCTTAAATTGTAGAGCGTCTGTGTGCAAAGAATGATTAGGTTCTCCCTGAACCATTCACCGAGCGGCTTGCATTTCGGAGCATACATAAATTTTGCTAATAGCACAACCTCTCACTGCTCGTACACACGGTGGAGTAGATACCTTGTTTCAGGAAATTGTAATTTGAATTTCATATTTTAGTTGACTGGGAAGCAATGATATCCTCAGCTTGTTAATCTGATGACAAATAGTTAGCGATTCTTGCAGTTTAATGAATTTGAGTCTACAATGGTTCCATTCAAACAACTTTTTTTTGGATAATTGTTCTTTTGTTCTAATCTACTAGATTTTCTAACATATTTGGTAAAAAAATCACTGTTTTTTTCAATAATAATATTTACAGAAAAGGGCCAAATAAGGCCTTCTACTATTATGAAATAGTCACATAAGGTCATGTACTCAATAAAGTGTCATATAAGTACCTCTACTTATACAAAGCAATCAAACGAGTCCTAACGGCTTATTTAACCCCTCTTAATCCCGATTTTAGCTTACTTATCGATTTTTTTGACTTGTATTTCAACTAATCTTAATTATATATTCGACATATGTCGTATAATGTATTCTAAAAAGATGGTCAGAAGTACGTTGAAACCGGGATTAGGTGTTAAATAGGTCATTAGGACTCATTTGATTGCTTTTTACAAGTAGAGGTACTTATATGACACTTTATTGAGTACATGACCTTATGTGACTATTTCATAACGGTACAAGACCTTATTTGACATTTTTCTCTTATATTTATAGATTGTGGGACTTCTGTTTTATGTAAAGGAACTACATAAACACTGTAGCAACATAAATGTAGTACTAGAAAACCATATTGTTTTTAATACTACGTATAATTTAATATAAAAAAACAAGAGTTTTGAAGGTTGATGAATATTTAAATTTTGAAACACTTATTTGTGCACTACACTTGTAATGACCATAGTATCCGGTATATACCAGTATCCCTAACTTTTGGGAACCGTCCTACAAACCCTCACATGCCCTCAAACACATATATTGGAGGTTGCTCCGGATTGAGATCCTAATCATCCTATGCTGTGCGGCAAAGTGCCTTGCGGGCAGAGGGACAGTCGGATGGAGAAAATGAAGTTTCGAGATGTGGATCTCAAGATTCCTGAGTGTTCAAATTTTGATAAGGCGATTCCCAAAAGTTAGGCACTGTGCCTTACTGCCTTGCCTTCCCAAAAGAATATGTTCATATAATTTTAATATATTAAATAATTTTGTATTAAAAATATCACTGGTTAAACTTGACAACCATTGACCAAGAAAAGTTAATTTGGCCGGTCTTTTGAGGAGTCCAGGATAGCTAACATCATAGGAATATACCCTTTTAGGATGTTTTCTTTTGGACTGAAATTTGATGGTTTGGTCTGGTCTGGTCTGGTAAACGTCTTGTCTCTGTGTATTTTATAACTGTGAGAGTCTGATCTGATCTGTTTAAATCTAGTCTGGTCTGTTTAAGCCTGGTCTGATTTGGTCTTGAACTGAACACAGTCCAAAAGAAAACATCCTTACAACTTTACCCCTTTTACCCCTCTACCCCTTTTACCCCTTACACTCATTGGATTTCTTATCCTTGGTGATTCTACCCAATCCCGAGTGCCATTGAAATCCAAGGCATTCATTAATTCAACTATTGGCATCATTCAAAAATCAAAATAGGATAAAGCCCGTATTACAGTTTTAGGAATATAGATAGCATCAAGGCAAGGCTGGCAAGCTATGAAATAAATGAGTCTACGGGACAACCGAAGAAATATGATATGTGCAAGACCGGTTACTTTTACAAGTGCATTCAGAAAAGATGAAATGTGTTGTAAAATCCTGGAAATGACAAGTGTCAATTGTTCATCCTTGTCATCAATCCAGAAATTATGTTTAATTCTTGTAACCTAGTTAGAACAGATGGCTCAAATTGTTATTGCCACCAAATCTGTAGATTCATCCCTTAAATGACTAATCATCAAGTTCAAACAGTATAAATAGGAGCTTGATGAGGCATTGTAAATTCATTCAGAAATTCAGAAATTCTCAGATATTCAGAAGAAGATATTTAGAGCTTTTATTAATATATCTATCTCTCAAATTTAGTCTTCATCTTCTTCATTTTCATAACACGTTATCAGCACGAATCTGCTCAAAACCTTCAAGAAATCATCATCTCCTGCAGGTATTAAAATCAATATCTATTATCTTCTTTTAGTATTCAAACTTGAAAATTATTCTCCCTCTTAAATAAATTTTCTGTGATATACGGAAAGAAAATTAAGATAACATGCTAACATACCTTTGAAACATACTCTGCATCAATTTTTATCATCTCAATGCTCTCTTTATTTGTACCATAGAACGAAAAGAATTGATGGAACAAGAATAAGTATTTTCTTCAATTTAGCTTCAATTCATATACATACTGCTATTGATGACTTGATAGAAGTATAGAGAGAACCGTAGGTGAGTAATAAAAGTAGAGAATGGTTGGAGGCTTGGAGCAAGAAATACTTTGTAAGAAAAACTAGAGGATTGAAAAGATCACTAGATCAGCTAATACTCAAACATACATTCTTTGTTCATTTAAAGGAGAGACACGTACCACATACATCAGACCCAAGTCACGGGTTGATGCATGGGAAAAGCAACTCATATGCATGCTGCACTTTTTATTTGTCATTTTGTTAATTAGTGACATGCAAAACAACAAATATATTTAATGATACCAGGCTAGCTAGCTCATACTCACGTTATGTGTTTGCTTTCAATTCAAAAATAGTTGTAGACTTTTAGTTTAATTCTTAATTTTCATTAATAAAATAGTACCGATAATAGCTTAACATGTGTAAGTCATCCTTTTAAAACAAAATAACTTGGCAGGTTAGTTTTGTTTCTTTCTCAATGAGATAAACTCAAATATCCTTTTAAATAATATAAGTACATAATTAAAACAGTTAGTGTTCATATATAAATATTCATGAAACTAGTAGTACAAACAATTGGCAATAGTTCAAGTTGTTCGTTCACATATTACGAATGCTTTATCGATATTCAATTAGATAACATCTCAAAGTTTAGTTTGTGATATGTTTAATGATGAATTCACGCTTATATAATTTTGTAGTATGGCAAACATAAGCAAAAGAGAATTCGACGTTCATGATTTGTCCGGTCAAAAATACCTGGAATGGAAAGTTGATGCTCTAGCACATTTAAAGGCTAATGGTCTTGAGGACACTATTGAGGCTATTAATCAATCATCTTCCCAGGATAAAGCGAAAGCTATAATTTTTCTCCGTCATCATCTCCATGAAAGTCTCAAATCTGAGTATCTTTTGATTGATGACCCAAAAGAATTATGGGACAATTTACAGGAGAGGTATGGCCACCAACAAAAGGTACTTTTGCCAAAAGCTCAGTATGACTGGATCAATTTAAGATTCCAGGATTTTAAATCAATCAGTGACTATAATTCTGCCATGTTCCAAATAACATCTAAACTAAAGTTATGCGGACAAAAAGTCATTGATGCTGATATGTTGGAGAAAACCTTTTCTACAATGCATATTTCTAATATGCTGCTACAACAGCAATATAGAGAAAAGGGTTTTAAAAAATACTCTGACTTAATATCAGTATTATTGGTAGCTGAGCAAAATAATGACCTTTTGATGAAAATCGTAATCTGAGACCCACTGGTTCTAATCCTTCGGCTTATGGTCCATCTGGCCATAATTTAGCCACTGAATCAAATGCAACATACAATGGCAGTAGAAGGCATTTTAAACGTGGGCATTTTAATGGTCATAAAAACAAGTCACATCGAGAATATAAACAGGTCAATAGACCAAATTATAAGGGCAAGGGCAAACAAAAGGCCCATCAAATAAATCGTCCTCCAAAAACCTCGAAACATGACGGGGCATTGGGCTAACAAATGCCGTACTGCGAAACATCTGGTGGAATTATTTCAAGCTTCCATGAATTTGAACAAAGGCAAAAATATGGAAGCCAATTATGTCAATGACACAACTCCACCTCTGCCAAAATTCGATGTGTCCGACTTTTTCGTGAATGATGCCATTATGGACGATGCTTTTGCAATAAATCAAAATGTCACAAAATAAAATATTAGACTCTAATCCTTATGTTGTAACATATTAGTTTTATGTACTTTTTCTTTCTTCCCCTTTTTCTTTTGTTTTTAAATAAATGTGTGTAATATATGTACTTTGTGTTAAATTATATGTACAATTTGTGATCAAGCTTATGTTTATTTACACATATTGAAGATATGGATCACTCAAATGATAAAGAGTTATGTCTGATAGACAGCGCCACAACGCACACCATTTTGAGAAATAAAATATATTTTTCTCAAATGACTTTAGTTGAAGCTAAAGTCAATACCATATCAGGTGTTTCAAAGCTCATTGAAGGCTCTGGGAAAGCATATGTGATGCTCCCTAACGGGACACAAATAATTATAAATGACGCTCTATACTCCAGCAAATCACGGAGGAATTTATTGAGTTTTAAAGATATGCGTCAAAATGGTTATCACATAGAAACCATGAATGAAAACCAAAAGGAATATATTTGTCTTACAACAACTAAATCTGGCACTAAATATATTTGTGAAAAAATGCCAGCATATTCCTCAGGACTATATTTCACATATATTAGTCCATTTGAAATAAATTTGGTTTCTAACACAAAGTTAGATGATCAGAAAACATTCATGTTGTGGCATGACCGTTTAGGTCACCCAGGCCAAGTAATGATGCATAAAATCATTAAGACCTCACTTGGACACCCATTAAAGAATATCAGGGTTCCATTATCAAGTGATTTTCCTTGTAAGGCATGTTCTCTTGGCAAAATAATCATCAGGCCTTCTATGAACAAAATTGCAACTGAATCACCTGCATTTTTAGAAAGGATTCAAGGAGATATTTGTGGGCCGATAGCCCCACCATGTGGAGCATTTCGATATTTTATGGTGTTGATTGATGCTTCAACACGTTGGTCACATGTTAGTCTTTTATCGACTAGAAATTTAGCATTTGCTAAACTCCTTGCTCAAATCATACGATTAAGAGCTCATTTTCCGGATCATTCTATAAAGAGAATCCGACTTGACAATGCAGGAGAATTTACATCCCAATCATTTAACAACTATTGTATGTCGATTGGGATTGATGTGGAGCACCCTGTTGCTCATGTTCATACACAAAATGGTCTTGCTGAATCTCCGATTAAACGATTACAATTCATCGCTAGACCATTATTAATGAAGTGTAATTTACCTTCATCAGCTTGGGGGCATGCTATTTTACATGCAGCAAATTTAATTCGGCTTAGACCAACTGCATATCATGAATATTCCCCAATGCAATTAGTTACTGGACAAGAGCCAAACTTAGCACACATAAAAATATTTGGTTGTGCTATTTATGTTCCGATTGCTCCACCTCATCGTACAAAGATGGGTCCTCAAAGAAGGTTGGGAATTTATGTTGGATTTGAATCTCCCTCAATAATAAAATATCTCGAACCGATGACTGGTGACTTATTCACAACATGGTTTGCAGACTGTCATTTCAATGAGACAGTGTTCCCAACCTTAGGGGGAGAAAATAATAAATTCGACCCAAGTACGAAAGAGATTACATGGAATGCAACAGGATTATCACATTTTGATTCAAGATCAAATATATGTGAACAAGAGGTGCAAAAGATAATCCATTTACAAAACGTTGCAAATCAGTTGCCTGATGCATTCACAGACACAAAGAAAGTGACAAAGTCACATATTCCTGCCATGAATGCCCCTGCCAGAATCGAAATCCCAGCAGAGAATTCTGAAAAATCTCTTGCAAATGATTCTTCTCTACGCAAAAGGCGTGGCAGGCCACTTGGATCGAAAGATATAAAACCAAGAAAAATTAAAAGACATGAATCAATCTGTGATGCCAAAGATGTTCATCCTTCTGAACAAGAAAATGATCAATTTGAAAATATTGGCATAGAAAATATTATTGACAAAACAAATATCTCAAATGACGATCCAACTTCCTTAAATGAGGAAAATATTCTAGATAATGATAGAAACGTTGATAATTATGAAATTTCAATAAACTACGTTTCTACTGGAATGCAATGGAATCGTAAAGATATTGATATTAATGAAATATTTGTCTATGTCGTTGCCACAAATGTTATGAATGAAAACAATGACAATGGGCCAACATCAATTGAAGAATGTCGGAAACGACACGATTGGCCAAAATGGAATGAAGCGATTCAGGCTGAATTAAAATCACTTGAAAAACGTGATGTTTTTGGACCGATAGTCCCTACGCCAAAAGGCGTAAAACCAGTGGGCTTTAAATGGGTATTTGTGCGTAAACGCAATGAGAGAAATGAAATCGTAAGATATAAAGCCCGACTTGTTGCCCAAGGTTTTTCTCAAATACCGGGAATTGATTATGAAGAAACCTATTCTCCAGTAGTTGATGCAACTACATTAAGGTTTCTCATTGGCATGTCTGTTTTTGAAAGGCTGCAAATGCGCCTAATAGATGTAGTAACTGCATATTTATACGGTTCACTCAATACAGACATTTATATGAAAGTTCCCGGAGGATTTAAAATGCTTGAAGCTTATAGCTCGAAACCTCGAGAAATGTTTTCCATTAAACTACAAAAGTCATTGTATGGACTAAAACAATCTGGACGAATGTGGTATAATCGTCTCAGTGAATACCTTCTTAAGGAAGGATATAAGAATGATCCAATTAGTCCATGTGTTTTCATCCGGCGATTAAATTCGGGATTCGCCATAATTGCAGTATATGTTGATGACTTAAATATTATTGGAACTCCCGATGAGATTGAAAATACTGCAAAATATCTTATGAAAGAATTTGAAATGAAAGATCTAGGGAGAACCAAATTTTGTCTCGGACTTCAAATTGAGCATTTGAAGAATGGAATTTTCATCCATCAATCCAATTACACCGAGAAAGTTTTGAAGAGATTCTATATGGACAAAGCTCATCCTTTGACTTCACCAATGGTGATTCGATCTCTCAACATACACGATGATCCATTCCGTCCCCGAGAAGATGATGAAGAAATACTTGGTCCCGAAGTACCATATCTGAGTGCTATGGGAGCTTTAATGTATTTAGCTAATAATACTAGATCAGATATTGCATTCTCCGTAAATTTATTAGCTAGGTACAGTTCATGCCCAACAAGACGTCATTGGAACGGGATCAAGCACATATTCCGTTATCTACGTGGTACAGTTGATCTTGGCTTATTCTACCACAAAGATGAAAAAGCTGCTTTAATCGGATATGCAGACGCTGGATACTTATCAGATCCTCAAAAGGCGAAGTCACAAACCGGGTACGTATTTACTTATGGTAACACCGCAATCTCATGGAGATCTATGAAGCAGAAATTGACAGCTACATCGTCAAATCATTCTGAGTTAATTGTACTATATGAAACCGGAAGAGAATGTGTGTGGCTACGATCTATGATTCAACACATCCAAAATGAATGCGGTGTGAAATCTATTACTTGTCATCCTACTGTGATCTACGAAGACAACACTGCGTGCATAGCTCAGATTAAAGAAGGCTACATCAAAGGAGACAGAACAAAACACATATCACCAAAGTTCTTCTCTACTCATGATCTCGAGAAAGAAGGGACGATCAACATTCAACAAATCAGATCCAGTGAAAATCCAGCCGATCTCTTCACCAAATCTTTACCCCCGAAGAAGTTCATGGAACTTGTACAGAAAATCGGCATGCGACGTCTTCATAATTTATACTAAATTCAGGGGGAGTATTTGAATGCACTGCACTCTTTTTCCCTTCATCAGGTTTTTATCCCACTGGGTTTTTCCTGATAAGGTTTTTAACGAGACAGTACATCCAAATACAACGACATTATAAGTCGTAATTTTTACCCCTTAATTTTCACAATAAGTTTTTAAAATAATAGACAACTATTCAAGGATGAACATTCAAGGGGGAGTGTTGTAAAATCCTGGAAATGACAAGTGTGAATTGTTCATCCTTGTCATCAATCCAGAAATTATGTTTAATCCTTGTAACCTAGTTAGAACAGATGACTCAAATTGTTATTGCCACCAAATCTGTAGATTCATCCCTTAAGTGACTAATCATCAAGTTCAAACAGTATAAATAGGAGCTTGATGAGGCATTGTAAATTCATTCAGAAATTCAGAAATTCTTAGATATTAAGAAGAAGATATTTAGAGCTTTTATTAATATATCTATCTCTCAAATTTAGTCTTCATCTTCTTCATTTTCATAACAAAATGAGAGTTATTGGTCTTAAAGAAGTGTGTATTTTTCCTTTCACCAATTTTCATTTTGGGATGAAATATAATGCCAGCCCAACAATTTTGGTGAACCATTTTGTGTCATTTACGTCGTAAAGTGAGGCAAGAAATGTCTTGTATAAAATACCAATATGAATGTTCAAGGGTACTTATTTGAGTTACTTCATCACAAAAGAGCCTAAATTACGACCATATTTCAGAGCTATCATTCATAAGAATACCCATACCATACGGCAAAACTTATCAATACAGCTTGAGAGCATCAAAATTATGGATGGACTCCGGCCGGGTGGCCCGACCCGGGACTGGCCCGGGACCGGTACTGTTCTGGCCCAGCCCGACCCGGTAGCCCGGTCAGTGACCGGTCTGGGCTCGGGTCACCCAAAACAAGGCCCGACCCGGCCGGGCTCAGGCCCGGTTCGGGCCAAAACTATTTTTTTTTCATTTTTTTTTAAATTTTCAGGTTGGGCTAGGTATTTTGGGCCATTTGGGGTATGGTTGGACTCGGGCCGGGTGGCCCGACCCGGAACCAGCCCGGGACCTGTACTGTTCCGGCCCGACCCGAACCGGTGGCCCAGTCAGTGACCGGTCCGGGTAGGCCCGACCCGGTGGGTTTCCGGTCCGGGCTCGGGTCACCCATAACAAGGCCCGGTTCGGGCCAAATTTTTTTTTTTGGTTTTTTTCATTTGATTGGGCTCCACCGGGTTGGGCTTGATGTTTAGGAGGGGTTTGGGGGGTGGGGGGTGAGGGATGGGTATCTAAGCAAAAAAAAAATAATCAAACCCGAGGCCCGACCCAGCCCGGACCCGGACCGGACCCGGTGGCTACCTGGGCCGGTCCCGAGTCTAGCTATATAGAACCGCCGGCCCGACCGGCCCGACCCGGACCGAGTCCAACCATAATTTGGGGTGGTTTGGGGGGTTGGGGGTGGGAGGTGGGTTAATTAGGAAGAGGGAAAAAAATTGATAATGGGCCCGGTCCGAACCCGGTTGTTACCCAAGCCGGTCCCGGGTCCACCACTCCAGAACTGCCGGCCCGACCCGCACCCGGCCCGGACCCGAGTCCATCCCTATTCAAAATCCACTTTCAGACACAACACTAATCGTCCCAACACTTCTATATAAACTAGCTCAAATGAGCACAATGATCTGTAACTATGTAGTTTGAGTACCAAATAACAATATTGGTGCTATTTTAGAGTTCTTTCAAAATAATAATGTGTTATAGACTTATAGCCCTATAGTGCTCCATTTTAATGCATCAATTCTTAAAGAACAACATGATATGGCTGTTTTCCATTTTAATGCATCAACTTTTAAAGAAAGACATGATGTGGTTCTTTTCGCAACACTACCCAGCCAAACGTGCCAATCCTTTTTCAGTAGCGTCTCTGCAATCAAATCTTAATCCTAATTTCCTTTCTGTTCTTTCAAAAACTTCTTTTTTTGGGCACAACTCGCAAGATTCAAGTCAAAGCAATGACAGAACCAACAAATAATAGCGTAGATGATATATCATTTAGTAATGGTGGATATTCAAGCTAGAAGTTAACTCTCTCCTTTCTTCGCACCCTCAGGATTCATTACGGTTTCCCATTTGAAGCTGCAAACCTCATTACAGGCTGAGCTTTCCCATCAGGTATGGCGAAGAGAACAATGGGCTGTGTAGGACTGACAAAGGGAACATCACATCTAAAGTAGCCTTTTCTCTCCAGCTGCAATATATCCCCTTTCTTCAAGTCACTCATGTTTGAATCCCCAAATGCGCAAGTCTCCTTTTTCGTGCATGGGTTCACAACGTCAATGAAATCTTCATTTTCCTCGAGCTGCAATACATAACACTTCTTTATTAGAATAGTCCAGCATAATACATGGAAAACAACCTCTCACCCACCTCATATATATAAAGTCATCTGTTATTTAGATGCTCAGGAGAAAATCTAGGTCATCACAGACACTCACACAGTCACACTTCCCAAAGGTTATTATGACTATTTTAATTCAGACATGCTATATTAGAAGTTAGAACCTGAAGTGTAATGTATTTTTCCATTAATATAACCAAGTATTCTTTGCTGAATAGTTTTTGCTTCATGCAACTTGCTGAAATGAAGTGTTTTTATTGTCAAAAGTTAAATTTCTTTGTACATATTGGGGAATAGGATTGCCTGGTGTATAGGTTTCATCCTAAAATAATATTTCTGAACTATATAACACAGACTTTTATGGACTATTATATAAGAACAATAATCAACAACATATTCCCAAAATTAATATGTAAGAAAGCTCAATAAATGTCATGCAGCATGACTCATGCCAAATGCAGCAAGTGCATAATGTGATAATGTTTATTGAGTTTGCTCTGACCCCATCCGTTTTCAGAATGTCACGGTAATTATAGTACCAATTTCCTTCTTAAATCTTAAGATTGTTCCCAATTCTATGGTTGGACACGTGGATGAAAGAAGCTATGGATTGGACGATCTTATTGATGGATCATCTGACAACTTATGTTAGGATGAAAGCTATAGGTTAGAGAAATAGATCGTTCCCAAATTCACATGCCTATTGAGTTAACTACAGTATTGTTGTCTTTATAATCTTTATAATTTAAAATGTGAGAAAATATTAGCTATCCAAAAGACTTATTCTTGCCCCGGTTTTGGTGACTTGTACAGTTGTACTTTTGTTTAAAATTATACAACAAATTCTAATAAGTTAAATAACCCAAATTAACACATGGAATTTCCAATATTTTTATATTTTGAAAATGAAGGTAATGTACAAACAGATTCTGAGATGATGACCTGTAAAGTATAATTTTCAGCAGAGTATTCATCAATATATTGAAATTAAGTGATCTTAAACTGTCAGAGATATCAGATTGCCAAGGCAATTATGCATAACGTTCCGTTGCCAATTCTAAAAATAAAGTAAAATAAAATTCTAACAGAAATTAGCAGTTCATTCATTCATTCATTCATTCATTGTCTGAGATGGAATAATTACAAACGTCAATACCATACCTTCTTTTTGGTGATGATGTAGTCAAAATCAACCAAAGAGAGCTTCAGAAGTTTATCTGTATCAGGGAGCCAGGTGAGCTTCAACTTAGTAGTCTTGACAGAGCCTTCAAGATGCAACACCCCAGTCAAACTTATCACATTCCCTTGCTCATCTTTTTCTATACTCTTCACAATGGAATTACCCCAATCCATTAAAGTGACTTCTTCATTGGCGGAAATCAACTGTGCATCAGCAAAGTCAATCCAAACCCTCTTCGTATAAGTAGTCACTTTTGTCCCAGCAGCTTCATATTTCTTGTGTTTTGGTATGGTGCGCGTAAATGGATCCTCAGGGCCATTACTCAAAGTAAATATGACACGTCTTTCTTCTATAACAGCAGTATGCCTGGGACATACAGGATCAATGATCTTCTTATTAATAGCCCAGAGCTTATCCCACTCCATGAGATTCAGGTTTTTTGAAGCTCCCTAAGAATTGGGTAGACCTTTTGGTGAGCTTTATGGAGTGCAATAACACGTAAGAACAAGTTACAAAAGCCATTGATCAGATATACAAGCTCGAATAACAGACATGAGGAATGAAGAAGTACCTATTATATGATGGAGTGGACGAGTGGGAAACCCGAAAAAAGCCAACAATCATAATTAATGATCAAAATATGATTTACGCTGTAAAACTATGCAAAAAGCATGGCGGCAAAGTTTTACATTTCATGTCCTATACGGCCTGTCATACACTCTAAAGAAGGAATAAAGAGATGAAACTCCAATACCATTACTACTTTACTATCATAGGTTTTTTAAAATTTGCATGAAAATTTCAGGAGACAAATGAGTACATATTTGTTACAGGCAAGTCTCATTGGTATTCCAAAGTCGATATGCACATTATCGAACATGAATGGGAAAGAGAATGAGTTATAAGGAGTACAAAAAGTCAAACTCAGTCAGTTTCCTTATTTTACGTAGATTATAAGAATAATAATAGCATCTTACTTGTTCAAGAATGAACTGTATCAAAGCCTCAATCTTCAACCCTCTGCGGACTATTCCTTGAACGGTTGGAAAACGTGGATCATCCCATCCCTCAACCAATCCATTTTTAACAAACCAAAGCAGCTTCCGCTTACTAAGAAGTGTATAGACCAAATTCAGCCGACTGAACTCATATATATGAACTTTTTGGAACCCCATGTCAGTTTGTATCTGGTAGTACTGATCATTGCGATCATGGTACTCACTAGACCTAAGTGCATGAGTGATTCCTTCAATAGCATCAACAAAAGGGCAAGCAAAGTCATAAGTTGGGTAAAGTTTATATGTAGAGCCAATCCTATGATGTGCAGTGTCATTGCAGCGGTAGTATACCGGATCTCTAAGTGACTTGTTATGATCCTGCATATTTAGCTTTCCTCTAAGACAACACATCTTACCCCTTTCAGAACCAACAATCATTTCTTTCCATGATTTCAAGTTCTCATCAACAGTGTTGTTCCTATGTTTTGATTCTATACCATTCCTTCTTTCCACCTTCATCTGATCTCGTGGTGTATCATCAACATATGCCTTCCCCTCTTTTATCAATTTTTCAGCCATCTCCAGTAGCTGAGGAAAGTAGTCTGATGTGTATGTTACCGTTTTGTATTTAATTCCCAGAGTCTGAATATCTTTCAACAGATTATCCACAAACTCATTACTCTCTTTGTCTGGATTAGTATCATCAAAGCGCAAAATGAGTTCACCTTTATACCGCTCAGAAAAATACTGGTTTAGAAGTGCAGCTTTAGAGTGGCCTATATGAAGAAATCCACTAGGCTCAGGTGCAAACCGCAATCGTACCTCACCAACCTTAGCATACGGAAGATCTACCTCAGATGTAGCATTGGCAGGATTGGCGTTTAGGATTTGATGCTCATTCACTTTGGTTGCTGTTTTCACTGAGCTCTTTTTCCCAGTATATGTTGCAAGCAATTCACCTAGAACATCCTCATATGCTACAAGTATTGAATTGAACCATCTCACTAGATTTTGGTATTTCTTTGACCTTCTGAGGCTTTCCCATCTCTGTGCAGCTCCTGCAAAGATTGCATTCAAGAATATTGAATATTGATCCAAGTGAAAGCTTGTCCTGGATGGAAAAACGTTGGGACTTGTACAACAACAACATCCAAGCCTTAGTCCCAAAATTGTTGGGACTTGTAAATAAGGAAAAATGCATCAGATTTCTATGATGCTTACGGCTCATGGCCCATCCTGATAAGGTCAATTATGATCCAAGTAGAATTTGAGTTGGGCTTTTTGAAAACGGAAATGAACCTGTGGTTCTATACTTCTATTGGGTTTTAACTGAACCCCTAAAACACTTGAATGTCAATATCTAAAGGTCTATTACAAAGACAAGCTATGATGGTAATAAATCATTACAATTTATAAGTAGCTAGCTATGCTTTAAATCTTGATTTCTTTAAATGTCTATGCTATATGACTTGAAAACCATTAATGGGATGCACTCGCGCGAGTTTCAGTTGGACAATGACTTCCACTTTAGTACTATTTGCTATACTTTGTAATTGTTTTATTTGGGTCTTTGAGTTGAGGTTCTCGGGCCGCCATGAGGCTTATGCCATCGCCTCACCAAGTCTAAAGTCTAAACACCAAAGGCATGCCTTTCAATTGCCACATCATTGAATATTCATAGACTTCATGAAGCTTGTTATGATAAGAAAATAACAAGCACCTGCCCCCCCCCCCCCCAGTCTAGCAATCAGCTAGAAAGGAAAATACCAATACTTTACCAACAATAATTAAAAATTTATCCTTTCAAATCAACAATATAACAATCACGTCCAGTCATTTACCTGCAAGGGAAGACCAGACAGCAATATCTGCAATTGAAAGATTATTCCCAACTAAAAATGTATGTTGCAGCAGAAATTGGTCCACATAACCACAAGCTCCCTGAAATTCAGAGCCAGATGCAAAAGCAGGGACATAGTCTAGCCATTCATCTATCTACAAGAATTAAAGGGAAGGATCACAACATCATTGCAAAGTGAGAAAAAGAAGTTAATTATCATAAGCCAAAAAAAAATTGTTTCAAATGGGAAAAAATGGTTTGAACTGCAAAAAAGATATAAATTGCACCTGGGCAGACTCTATTGGATCCCGACTGTAGAATTTAGGAATGCTTGATATACGACCAATATACCTTAAGAGAACAAAAGTTCCTCTCAACGTTGATCTGCACATTACAATTATCTAACATATGTCATCAAACTTGCAAAAGTTACAAGAAAATTATAGATGTTTACCATTTGTATATTAGAAATTACTCGATATAGGACCAAAAGATAGGCAAGTTCTAAAATACGACCAAATATGTTTTCTTCCCCAAATAGGACTTATTTAGTCCTATTAAAAGAATAAGTTGATCAACACATCCCAAAATAGGAGTGAATGAGTCTTATTTTGGGAATAAAACAATAGTAGTCCTATATAGTACTCCCTCCGTCCCGCTAACAATGAGACAAGAGGGAGTGGCACGCAAATCAATAAAAAGTGGTTTATGTGGTTGATATTAAATTGATAAAGTAAGAATAAAGTAAGAATGATTTAGAGCCACACAAACTTTACCACATTTGGTATGGGACAATCTTAGTGGGACGGACCGATAAAGTAAAATGAGACAATCATAGCGGGACGGAGGTAGTAGTACTTATCTCTTGAAGTGCAGTGTCTTATAATGGTGAGTTGGTGACATACCCCCCCCACCCACCCCCCCACCCCGGCCGGGGCTCAATCTAAATTCGTTGTCCAGTATACTTGATGACTTGTTTGATGTAAAATCCAATATAGTATGTGCTATTTACATGCATCCCAGTGAACATGATATTTATTTAGATTCTACATATGGCCAGAACTGCTTGAAGATTAGTACTTCTACAAGTCAAAGCCATAGACATAATAACTGTAAATGCTACCACCAGACTACTAATATACTTTTCTTAAATCAATCTTTTATAGGTTTTATGAAAGTATGCAGGATCCGCCTGCAAATTCTCAGTGATATGGCATATATTGCAAATATGCGGATGAAAAGAAGCTAATTTACCCATTGGGTAAAACCATCACGGGAGGAGAACAAGAGCTGAGGGTTGCATCGGGAGAGAAAGCAACTCCAGAGATTTTCGCAGCAACAATGGCGGCCAGCGGAGGATTATCACAGGGAAATGAGATCTTGAGTTCCATCCCTGGGATTACTGAAAAGAGAAATTTGACCCAAGTTCACAACTTCAGTAAGGTAACTGGACAATCTTAATCTATTCCGGCAAGATATGCTCGAAACCGCGAAGTATTGCACAAACTTTGTGAGAGCGATACTGGTGCTGGCGGAAAGCAGAGCTAGACCTGGAGAAGTAGACCCGCCGCTTGAGAAACGGGACTCCAGTTGGCTAAACGAGCTCATTGCTCGGTTTGGGCCGGCTCTCGCGTATCCGCTATCCGACCAGATGCCATAAGCCCAATATGTATGTTGATTTTTTTTTTTTCACATTTGATTTCATCTTCAATTTCACATTTTAATGCACATTTGCTTATGGCAACAATGCAACATGGCCTCATTCTATATTCTGAATTATTAAAGAAAATCGAAAAACTAAATATCAAAATACTATATGTATTGAATTAAGAGCAAAGGCAACCATATAAACAAGGAAAAAATAATTAAAATACCTCAAACTTTGAAGGGGTGTGAGTTTGTGAGATGAACACCTCAAACTTGCATATGTAATTTAAATACCCCAATTTTTTTATAAAAAGTTATTTTAACATCATAGTTAAATATTATTTCTTTCATAAATGTAAATTTATGGTGTTAACTGTAGAATTTAAAATATTTTAGAATTCTTGAAGACACAAATGACATTTAACTTCCATTGCGAAATAAATAATGTTACCCCTAATCCATACAATTGCAACACTTTTAATTTGCTATTTTAAATTATGCAATTAACTACATAAATTTACATTTTTGAAAGAGATAATATATGACAACGGTGCGAAAATAACTTTTTATATAAAGTTTGAGGTATTTAAATTACATATACAAGTTTGAGATTCTTACCTCACACCCCTTCAAAATTTGGGTACTCTTATTATTTTTCCCTATCAATAATAACCATGAGCAAAACATAACCATTTTAAAATTAAACATACAAATGATTATCCTAAAGCAAATCGCACTATTCACACATTATTGATGTTGAAAACATTAATGCTCACGGCTCACGCTACAAGCAATCATGTACGTATCTAGGTCACAAATATTAACATCAAAATGGGAGTTCACGAGCACACAATTAAGAGTTATATTTACTTATTGCGTATATTTTACATAATTAATTATACCAACTTTAGGAATAATAAAGGGATTGTTTTACATTTTTAATCTCCAAAAAGTAAGAAATAATATGATGAATTCACAAAAATAAATGATGAAAGATAGACAATGTATAAAGTAAAAAAGTGGGAAAATAAGAAGTTAGTAAAATTGAGTTTAGGAAAGTATTTATAATTTGAGAACAATTTAAGAAAAAAATGTATCTTAAAAATGGAAGAGAGCTACTAATCTTTTTCAGGAAACCTCAAGTATAGGAGTGAACCGGACGGAACCGTTATGACCCGGTTTGATTCAATTCCAACATTAATTAGTTACTCCGTATTTGTTAACAATTCGATTCCCATTTTTATTAACGTTTCGATTTTCAGTTCTAATAAAAATGATATATGTGTAATTATCAAGGAATCGTAATATAATAGTTAAATTTTTATCTATTAGTTATTAGCATATACCAGTATTGATGGAGTATATGGTCCGGGAACACCTGGCCCACAGACTCCTACTACTCCAGTAAAGGCCCGACAGGCCTATAAGGCCCAACAGGCCCAAATTACAGCGCCCCAGAGTACCAAGCAGCCCGCAATGCGCATCAGGGTGCCTTCGGCCCCTTGGCCGAAGGCTCTTACTTTCACAGGAAGGTTAGGACAGCAAAACAAAGCTACTGGGAAAAACGGCGAAAATCAGTAGCCCTCGGCACCTAGGGGTCCCCGGAACTCAGAGCCTTCGGCTAGTCCTCTACAGCCGAGAGCACCCTGCCCGACATGATATCCACACCACATGCGTACAGATCACCGTACCCTGTACAAACGTCTCTTCCAACAGCCGCATTAAATGCGGCCACATGCGGTTGCCAGCGCCAACCAGATGAGGTGACCTCTCGGCCAATGGACGCTTGACACGTGTCCCTGTCCGGCATTTATTGCTACTATAAATAGCACCCCTTTTCCCCATTTGTAACCAAGTGATAAACGCTGCATACTTTCTGAATACACTTTCTCTCTCTACTTATTTGCTCTGACTTCTCTCTTGTTATTCCCCGCAATAACCTCCCGGATAAGCTACCCCCCGGGTACACTATCCATCATTTGGTGCTCTCGTTGAGAGGTCGAACAATCGAGTAAGAAACCCTCCCCCTTCGCCAAACACTAGCCCTCTACCAAAATGGTGAGAACAACACGTGCCAACTCCAAAAACGTAGAAGACAAGAACCTGGCCCTCGGCGACGTCAACGCCCCCGAAGCCTCTCACAGGGCTCCCGAGGGCGGTGTCATCGCTGGGCTGGAACAGGCGGCTGTCGACCTACGCCTTCAGATCCAGCAAAATGCCCCTGATGCCCGCCTCGGCATCGAGGCCAAGAAGAAAAACCGGAGTGATGACCAAGTCAGCCCTCCGGTCCTCACCATCGACGTTCATTCGGCGTTCTCCGCCTTCATCCAAACGCTAACTCAGAACCCGGGTGCCTTCGGCACCCTGGCTCCGGCTCCACCCCAGGTTGGGGAGAACATCATGCTTCCCCCTCTGCCACACCCCTTCGGAAATCCCATCCCTCGGATTGGGAATGACGAAGGGGTAGTGGCCCAAGATACGGCCTCCCAGGAAGTTCAGTCTCGGGACCGCCACAATGACAACAGAGAGAGGCCCCACACTTCCGCCCTCAACCGGCTCGGAGGGGGGCAGGATCGCCGAGGGGTCCAGGACCGCCTCGGAGGAAAGGCATTCCAGAGGCCCCAGGAGAGCGGGGGGTCTGTCTCGAGGGCAGACGAGGAGCGTCCTCCTCGGGACAAAGGCAAGGCACCCCTTCAAGCCGACGATGCTCGCCACCAAATCAACCAGGCCCACTCGGCCCAGGTTCGTTCGCAGGGGGCGGAGACCCTCCCGAAGGACCCCCGGGACGAAATTATTGCGGCCCTCCAACGCCGACTTGACGAAATGGAGGCCAACAAAGCTCACGCCACCACCTCCACCCCTCATTCAGACCTCAAATACGAGGCCATGATGGCCAAAATGGAGGAATTACAGAAGAAGGTAGCCGAGGGCTCCGGGGAACCCATCATCCAGCTCCGGACCCGGACGCCATTTACCCCAAGGGTATTGGCGGCCCGGATCCCGGAAAAATACCAAGGGCAACACATACAGCCCTACAACGGGAAGATGGACCCCCAGGAGCACTACATCAAATATCAGAACAACATGATGATGGTAGGGGCGTCGGACGAATATTTGTGTCGTTGGTTCCTCTCCACCTTAGAGGGACCGGCATACGAATGGTTCAACCGGTTACCCGAAGGCTGCATTGATTCGTGGCAAGAACTCGCCCAACGATTCTTGACACAATTTGCCGGGAGGCGTCGCACGAGGAAGCACTTCTCCCACCTCCTAACCATACGCCAGAGGAGGGATGAGACCCTTCGGGACTTCCTGGAGCGCTGGAGAACGGAAGCTGACAAAGTCGACGGTGCTGACGACAGAACCCTCCTGACCCTCCTACAAACCGTCCTCCGCACCGGCAACTTTTCAAGGAGCCTCATCATTGAACCCCCCAACCCCCCCCCCCCCCCCCCCCGCGACTACATAAGGGCCCTGCAGTGGGGGGACCGGTATGCCGAGGCCGAGGAGGTGGAGAAATACCACCAGCATCCGGATCAGCAACCCCCGAAGGCTGACAACAAGAACAACCGAGGGCCGGGGGCTCCTCCAAATCATCCCAAGGCTTCAGGACCCTCTGATGACCGCCCTCGGCAAGGCCAAGCCAAGCCCGGGGGAGGTTATAAGAGCAGCCCTAAGACTTGGGCACAGCCCATTCTCCTGGACCGCCCTCGGACACCATTGACGCACCCCGTCAGCATCATCCTTGATTTTTCCGAGGAGAGGGGCCTCGTTGAGCGCGATTCTCGCGCCCCCCCGGAGGTACATGCTATCAACCCTCAGTTCCCCTACTGTCGTTTCCATCGGCACCAGGGGCACAGAACCGATGACTGCCATCAGCTAAAGACGGCCATCGAGAGATTGATACAAGCGGGGCACCTGTCCCAATTTATCCAGAGCCCTCGGCAGGAGGGGCCTTCTCATCAGGGACCTCCCCGAGGGCATCGCACGAAGGTAAACGCTTGGGTGAACCCGAACACCATCCCCCTCGGCAAGAAGAGGGAGATCGGAAACTTGGAGGAGGAAGAGGAGGAGTACCCCCACTACCAGGAGAAAAAACGCCACATCCTCATGATCACCGGTGGCAATACAGGGGGCGACTCCACCAGCCAGCGGAAAAAGTGAGCTCAATCGCTTTACGTAGGGGAAGTCACTCATATGCCCCCGGTAAAGCGGCTGAGGGAGGAACTCATCACCTTCACCAACGCAGATCTCCCTCCTACTTCTTCTTCTCCTCACAGGGATGCCTTGGTGATTCGGACTGAAATAAACGACACCATCATTCACCGAACTTACATTGACACGGACAGCTCCGTCAATGTAATGTACCTCAGCACCTTTAGAGAGCTGCATCTGGAGAGGGGGACCCTTCGGCCCATTAAGACCCCTCTTGCCGGCTTTACCGGCGATACTATTGATTCCGAGGGGGTAATAACCCACCCGGTAATCTTTGGCGACGGGCTCCATAGAGCCCAGCTCGAAGTGGAGTTCGTCGTCGTCAACATCGACTGCGCCCACAACATCATCCTCGGCCGGCCAGCCCTCGAGGACCTCGAGGCCGTCATCTCCATGAGGCACCTCTGCCTCAAGTTCCCCACCGAGGGGGGCATTGCCTACTCCCGGGGGAATCAGAAAATCACCCGCGCCTGCTATCTTCAAGTCACTAAGAAAGTAAGTAAGACGGAATTCCGTGTTGACACCATCACCGGAACCATCGACAAAGAAGAAAAAAGGCCGAGGGCTGAACCAGCCGAGGACGTAGAAGACTTTACACTCGATCCGGCCAAGCCGGAGAGAGTCGTGAAGATTGGAGCCCAGCTCCCTGAAGATCTGAAGACCGGTATCACCGACGCCCTCCGCGCCTACTCCACTGTCTTTGCATGGGGTCCGGAGGACATGCCGGGAATAAGCCGAAGGGTCATCACCCACCGCCTCTCGGTGGACCCC